TTCACCGTGTTAGCCAGGATGGCCTCGATCTCCTGACCTCGTGATCTGCCCGTCTCGGCCTCCCAAAGTGCTGGGATTACAGGCTTGAGCCACCACGCCCGGCCAATTTTTGTCTTTTCTTTAGTTTAGACGGGAGTTTCACCGTGTTGGCCAGGCCGATCTCAAACTCCTGGCCTCAGGTGATCGGCCCGCCTTGGCCTCTCAAAGAGCTGGGATTGTAGGTGTGAGCCACCTTGCCTGGCTCATGTAGTTTTAGAGTGAGGAGAGGTACCTCTGTTTAGGCCGGTATATGAAGAGGAATCTTGACATCCTTGAGTGTCAAGATTATTTTGTCTTTTGAAAAACCTTAATCAAGGTATTAAAGTATTAGAAAACAAGTTCCCAAACTCATTTGACAAATACTTATTGAATGCCAACTATGTACCAGACACTGTTCTAGACACTTGAGACACTTGGTATTCATCAGTGAACAAAAGAGACAGAAGATCTCTTCAAGGACTATATATTCTAGTGAATATATAATTGCTTCGGAGTTACTCGGTTCCTATGTGTAATTAAGAGTTACTTTGAATTAGTTAACAACAGTGGTGTCTGCTGTATGCAGTGTACAGTATCAGGTGTTGGGGGTCGCATATTAAAGACTGTAGAAAGCTCAGTGTTTTCTTCACTGACTACTGGCGTAAAATGGCACTAACAAATTGAAAAACCTCTTTAAAGTGTTTCATTTTGATGATAAAACCCTGTAGTAATAATACCATCTACTGTTTATTGGCTATTTCTCTCACTTGTCATCCAAACAACCATGCAAAGTACTACCCATTTTACAGGTACGGATCAAGTACTTGAGAAGTGACAAATTTGAAATGTCACTGGTATTCTGCCAAGGCTGGTGTCCTGCAAAACTGATACTCCTTCCACTTTGGTGTTTCTTGTACGCTGGTGCCCTGCAAAACTGGTACTCCTTCCGCTTCAGTATTTCTTATGTGTAAACATCAGTCCAAACTCCCCCTTTTTTGTGGAGACTGAGTCTCTCTGTGTTGTTGCCCAGGCTAGTCTCTCAGCTGGGCTCAAGCAGTCCTCCTACCTTGGCTTCCTAAAATGCTGGGATTGTAGCAGTCTTTTGGCTTAGCTTCTCTCTGAATAGTGTTATCTTTTTTTTTTTTTTTTTGAGACAGAGTCTTGCTCTGTTGCCCAGGCTGGAGTGCAGTGGCGCGATCTCAGCTCACTGCATCTCCGCCTCTCGGGTTCACACCATTCTCCTGCCTCAGCCTCCTGAGTAGCTGGGACTACAGGCACCTGCCACCATGCCCGGCTAATTTTTTGTATTTTTAGTAGAGACGGGGTTTCACTATGTTAGCCAGGATGATCTCGAACTCTGGACTGGATGAT